GCAGCATAGCTCACAGCTACCTCCTACTCTTGGGCTTAGATGATTCTCTAGCCTCAGCCTCCCAAGTAGCTGGCTGGGACTACAGGTGCCCGCTACAATACCCGGCTATCTTTTTTTGTTGTTGCAGTTTGGTAGGGGTCAGGTTCGAATCCACCACCCTAGGTATATGGGGCCGGTACCCTACCAGCTGAGTCACAAGCACCACCCTATTTCTGTTTTCTTTAGCAATACCCCACAAGTATTAAAAGGAAAACACGTTGCTATAGTTGATTAACCTCTTTAAGATTAATACCATTTCATCTGAAGAAAAAATTCTTAAATAATTAGTCTTAAGAATAACATGCTTTGGGCCAGGCGCAGCGGCTCACAATCTGTAATCCTAGCACTCTGGGAGGCCGAGGCAGGTGGTTGCCTGAGCTTACAAGTTCAAGACCAGCCTGAGTCAGAGTAAGACTTCATTTCTAAAAATAGCTGGGCATTGTGGTGGGTGCCTGTAGTCCCAGCTACTTGCGAGGGCAAGATAATTACTTGAGCCCAGGAGTTGGTTGCTGTGAGCTGTGATGCGACAGCACTCTACCCAGGGCAATAAAGTGAGATGCTATCTCAAAAAAAAAAAAAAAAAAAAGAATAGCATACTTTGCCAGATGGAGTAGAAAAGACTGAAAGATCACTGAGACACCAGCTTATTCCTAGACTGTAGATGAAGGAACATGGATTTTTTTTGGTTTTGGGGGGGTAAGGTTTGCTCCCTAACAACTAGTCTTTTAAAGAAAATTTATCTGTTGTCCAATTTACAGTAAAATAATGGCTTAATTACAATAGCTTTTGTAATTTGGAAAAGTTCCATATTTAACTGTTGTGTAGAGCCTGAGATGACTATGACAAATAGGAATATTCTTCCAGGTTGTTTAATCCTGAAATGATTACGGCTGTTCTTTTGCCAGATAATGACTCTCAAGTCTATTAAATTTCAAAACAGATGCTTCTGGGGAGAGTCGCTTTTCAGTGCATCAGGTTACTTAGTGTAGTTGTTGTTCTTGTTTTTTTAGAGACAGAGCTTCAAGCTATTGCCCTTGGTAGAGTGCTATGACATCACAGCTCACAGCAACCTGCAATTCCTGGGCTTAGGCAATTCTCTTGCCTCAGCTTCCTGAATAGCTGGGACTATAGGCGCCCGCCACAATGCCTGGCTATTTTTTTGTTGCAGTTTGGCAGGTCCAGGCTCGAACCCGCCACCCTTGGTATATGAGGCTGGCACCATACCCACTGAGCCACGGTGCTGCCCTTACTTAGTGTTTTTATGTGGCTATATTTTGGCCATATCCTAACGTTAGAGAATTTGTTCTGCAGTCTGGCACTGCCTCCTCCTCAGCTCTGATTATCAGAAACATAGCTGAGGGAAGTTGAAGTAACAGGAGTGCTGGAGGTTTTGGGTGCAGCGTGTCCCTGTGAGCCAGACCATCAGAGCTGTGTGTTTGTGTGACATTAGCTGGGCTTTGTACTAAAGAAACTCAAGAGAGTTAGGCTTTGGGATTTACTGAGGGACACAGGGAGCACTGTCAGATGACGTCACACTATAGCCCACTTGTTCTGCCCTACTGCTCCTTACCCCTCACACGCAAACCCACAGGGAGTGGTGACGCCAACCATCAAGAAAGGGTGGGTTTTTTTTTCCTTAGGAGCAAAACATAGCTCTCCTCCTCATTCTCATCCCTATCCTCTTATAGATACAGAGATACACATATACATATACACACTCTCTCTCAGTGTGTAAAATTCTTTTTTGTTCCCTCTGGCTACAAAAGAATTGAAAGCCAAATATGCATCCATTTGGGCATTTTGTAAACTTAACTAGATGCCCTCTTTTAGTCACTTGACAAACACATATCATATTTAGTATAGGACAAGTGCTGTTTCTAAGCTTTTTGTTAGTATTAACTACCTTTATTTTTTTTCATTTATTTAGACTCTGGTCTTGGTTATTTCTTTCATTCTACTACTTTTGGGTTTGGTTTGTTCTTTTCTAGTTCCTGGAGCGATGCATCATTACTATTTGGAGTGTATTTTTTTGATGGAGGCATTTAGGCATTTATTGTCATAAACTTCCCTCTTGGTATTGTTTTTGTTGTGTCCCATAGCTTCTGCTGTGTTGTGTTTCCATATTCATTTATTTCAAGAGATTGTTTTAGGCTGGGAGCGGTGTTTCATGCCTATAATCCCAGAACTCTCGGAAGCCAAGGCGGATGCATTGCCTGAGCTGATGGTTCCAGACCAGCCTGAGCCAGAGCAAGACCTCATCTCTAAACATAGCCAGGCATTGTGGTGGGTGCCTGTAGTTCTCAGCTTAGGACGCTGAGGCAAGAGAATCACTTAAGCCCAGGACTTTGAGGTTGCTGTGAGCTGTGATGTCACTGCACTCTACTAAGGGTGACAAAGTGAGACTCTGTCTCAAAAAAAAGAAAAAATTTTAAATTTCCTTCTTAATTTCTGTGTTGACCCAATGGTTGTTTATGGACATGTTTTCTCCTTTCCATATATTTGTTAAGTTTCTGAGGTTATTCTTGTTATTGATTTCTAGCTTTATTCCATTGTGGTCAGAAAAGATATTTCATATGATTTTAACCTTTTTGAATTTGGGACTTATTCTGTGGCCTAATATATATTGTTTGTCCAGGAGAATGTTCCACGTGCTGATGAAAATAATGTATCATATTTCTGCAGCAGTTGGATGAAATGTTCTGTAAATGGTGGTTATGTCCATTTGGTCTGTAGTATAGTTTAACTCTGATTTTCCATGTTGACTTTCTGTCTGGATGACCAATATATTGTTGAAAGGGATATTGAAGTCTCCCACTATTATTAATTGCAGTCTATCCCTCCCTTTAGATGTATTAATATTCACTTTATGTAACCTTCAACTTTTCTTTCTTTCTTTCTTT